AGCGTATACATCGCCCCAAGAATAAATTACTGACTCGATGGAGTCGAGTAACTGGTACTACTAGCTTGTGTCTGTTCCTAGTATTTACAGAATGAATATCACTTATTTTTATAAAACTACTTTTATTTTTGTGTACGTACATTACATTTTCATAAATGTATTGAGAGGCCAAAGTTAATATATTAATTTCCTTAAATTTTTGTCGCAGCGACTCTTTAGGCTTTAAATCATAAATTGCTCTTATGGCCCTCTTCTGCAAAACAAATATAATTTCAGTGTCAGCTGCGTGTCCCCATAGCAAAATACCATACGACATTATGCTATGGAAGTAGCTGAAGTAAACTAGTCTAGCTGTTTCAACACTGGTTAGACTTCTAATCTTTTTTACAGCATATGCTGCAGAACTAAGTCTGCTTGCTAGTTTTGATATATGGGGGCTCCATTGAAGCTTCGCGTCTAGTGTGATTCCAAGAAAAATGGTGGTATCTACAAGACTCAGTTTCTCCCCATTTAAAATTACATTAGTATTTAATTGTTTGACATTTCGAGTCACGAATTTCATACATTTTGTTTTAGTGCCATTTAAATGCAAATTATTAACATCCAACCAATTTACTAATTTAGATATAGCATTATTTACTTCGTCATATTTTAGTAACTGTCGACTTAATTTGAAAATTAAAGAAGTGTCATCTGCAAATAATACTATATCATGGTTATCCCCTACTATGTAAGGTAAGTCATTAATGTATACAAGAAACAGAAAGGGGCCGAGAATTGAGCCTTGAGGCACGCCCATTTGTACCATCGATCCGGAAGAGCTCATATTGTTAATGACAACTTTTTGCGTTCTCTTACTTAAATATGAAATAATTAATTTAAGGGCATCACTTCTTACACCGTAGTGTTGAAGTTTCCTGATTAATGTTTCATGGTGAACACAATCGAAGGCCTTGGATAGGTCACAAAATATACCCAAAGCATCCTGTGAATTCTCCCATGCATTAAAGATATATTTAATCAGCTCAACACCGGCACCAGTTGTCGAGCGACCCCTTGTGAAACCAAATTGATTTTTATGAAGTAAATTATTTATATTAAAAAAATTTAACATTTGATGAAGAACAATTTTTTCAAAAATCTTACTAAGTGTTGGTAGTACAGAAATAGTTCTAAAATTGGCGGGGTCTAATGTACTACCAGATTTAAATAAAGGTATTACTTTACTATGCTTCATTAAATCAGGAAACACACCAGATTCGATACTAGTATTAAAAATAATAGCTAAATGAGGCGCGATTGTATCTATTATAGACGCAATAACTTTAACGGAAATCCCCCACAGATCCGCAGTTTTCTTAACATCAATAGTTTTAAAATATTTTACAATATCTTTTGATGACACTTTATGAAATGTAAAATTCTTTGTACACACATTTACATTTTGTTTAAGTAATGATTCGGCGACGGCAGGAGAAGAATTCAGTGACTTAGTGGTCAAGATCGGAATATCAGTAAAATATTTCTCAAAAACCATTGCTACGTCCTGATCTGATACAGTTAATTTGTTGTTAACACTTAACTGGTAATTTGAATTGCGAGAGTTGATCTTACCAGTTTCGCTATTAATTATACTCCATGTCATTTTAATTTTATTGGAAGCCGTCTTAATTTTGTTGCTCAAATGCAAAAACTTGGCTATGGAGCACACTCTTTTAAATATTTTTGAATATTTTTTTACATATTCCCTAAATTCGACGCTATGATTATATGACCTTTCATGGTAAAGATCATATAACCTATGCCTGCTCTTATGGAGTCCTACTGTCGCCCATTCATTGAATGACTTCCGACTGTTCAAGGAGAATGTTTTAGAAGTAAAAGTATTATTAAATTCATTGCAAATAAGCTTAAATAATGTTCCGTACAAAAAATTAGGATCATTTTGGTATGAAAGTGATGGAAGTTTTTTCACTATGTTACTTCTAAATTTCTCCAAGCGACGTGCATTTACTAGAACAGACACAACTTTCTCATCTACTTGCTTTTTGTGAACATAAGGTAACGAAACTACTTGTCCACAGTGATCAGAACTTAATTTTTGAATTATACATTTATGCAACGGCTTCACATTTGTAAAATGTCTATACATGTTGCACTAGATTGAGAAATACGCGTTGGCTCTATAAATAAATTAAAAAGACCATGTGATTTAAACAATGATCTAAATTTAATATTGATGGAGGAAGCTTCTAGGAGATTGAAATTAAAATCTCCACATATTACAACAGATTTATTCTGTTTATTAAGCTTAGCAAAAACTTCCTCCATAATGTTTTCAAAAGTATCATATGTACAACATGGGGGTCTGTAGACGCTCACAACAATGAGGTGCTCAAACTTAACACATGCCACTCATAACATGATTGATAATAAGCCCCGGGAATGAAGTGATCGCTTCCAAGCTGTTTTGTATTATAAGTTTTGTAATTAGTTTGTACAACTCGTATTTTATTGTATAATTTTATTATGAAAGAAAAATCTTCCGTGAAAAATCAACAGTGGTAAAAGTAAAAATTAATCTTGAATAAGAATTACTTCTAATAAAAATATTCTATACTATTCTATTCTATTCTATTTGCCATACTACTATATGCCAACACTTGACATCCGGATCGACCCAGGCATCGTATTTGTCGTTGCTGCCCGTCATCGGTCCACATTTAAATTAGCGTTTTGTCGTACTGACCACTTTGATCTGAAATATCTCCTCTATGGTTAAGAATTCCAAATTCAAATTTGTATATTCATTTAGCTGGTACATTTGAGTTTTGAAAACAGTCATTCATTTGTTTTTTCCTCATTTTTTTTTCTTTGGCGTCGCTTATTACCGCACAATGGAAAACATGAAATATCGATATATTTACGAGAACGAGTTCTACCGTGGCACCAGTGCTGCAGAAACAGCTTGAAGGATTAATAATATGTACAGCGCTGGTGTCGCAAAAGAAAGCACGGTACGTTTTTGGTTTTGGTACCCCGTGGACGGCTGGAGACCAAAGTGGAAAATGAAGAATTAAAGGCTATTGTGAAAGCGGATCCATCACAAAGCACTTCAGAGATAACTGCAGGCTTCGGGGTAAGTGATAAAACTGTATTAATCCACTTGAAGCAAATCGGGAAAGAAAGTAAACTTGAACGATGGGTACCTCATGAATTGTGTGAATCGAACTTGCAAACATGCGTCGACTGCTGTGTTACATTGCTCAACCGACACAATAATGAAGGGATTTTAAATCGAATCATTACTTTTGATTAAAAGTGGATACTGTACGATAATCGGAAGTGCTCGTCGCAATGGCTGAACCCTGGAGAGCCAGCCAAATCCTGCCCTAAGCGTAAATTGACGCAGAAAAATTTACTTGTGAGTTTTTGATGGACTAGCGCCGATGTCGTTCACTACAGCTTTCTAAAATCTGGCCAAACTATTACGGCAGATATCTAGTGTCAGCAACTAAAAACCATGAAGGAGGAACTAGCTGCTAAACAACATTGATTGGTCAATCGCTCTAGGCCACTGCTGCTTCTCGACAACGCAAGACCACACACTGCACAACAAACAACCACTAAGTTATATGAACTACAATTGGAATATCTGCAACATCCACCGTTTCCCCGGACCTTGCTCCAACAGATTACCATTTTTTCCGGAATTTGGACAACTTCTTACAAGGGAAAAAATTCAACTCCGATGCGGCAGTCCAAACCGCCTTCAAAAAGTTTATTGAATCTCGCCCCCATGGTTTTTTTAGTAAATGGATCAATGAACTACCTATGAGATGGCAAAAGTGCATAGATAAAAACGGTGGATACTTTGATTAATTAAATGTATTTTACAAAAAAAATTGACTTTATATTCCTCCCGTACAAAACGCCAATTTCATATGTAAGGCTATATTTACATCTGGTATATATGCATACGAGTTAGTATCACCATCTTAAGAAATTCATGAGGTTTTTCTTCCCCGTACTCAATTTTTAAAACACCCTTAGAGCGAAATAGAGTAAGTAATGGATTCTCTTACACTTCCACCATACGGTAAAATTACTTACTGTTACCGTTACCGTTACAGCCTATTAAAGTCCACTGCTGAACAAAGGCCTCCCCCATAGATTGCCTCATGGGGGGATATTTGCCATAGTTGCCACGCTTGGGTTGGTAACCACAGTTTTATATTTTAGTCGTTATTAGGAAGACGCTGCTCCCCATCTCCTGATTGTTTCCCTCTGTTGCCTCCCACGCCACCCACGGTATGATATGGGGTAGTGGATATTCTTACACCGGAACTACACTGAACATAAATTATTGAGGCGAGGTATTACAAAGCAATTAAAAATAAAAACAGTAGTGATAGAATATTGTTTATTAATAAAATGTTATTAAAATACATAGATGTAACTTCAAAAACATTGAAGTCCTTAATTCAAGGCTTAATTAAAGTGGGCAGTGATATTTTAAATACAACATATTCATTTTTACAATATTATAATCTCATTTTTGTTCCATTTTTATATACCTAATAAGACCACTTAGCAAATAAGATAAAAAACTGTATGTGTACTTATGTACGCACATAGGAAGTTACACTTCTTTAGCGTAACAAAACAAAAAAACTTGAGTGACAATTACCCACTGAAGTTGTCGCTTTTAGGTGTCAGTGTGCGCGCGCATCATAACAATTTCATGGTGTCGTTTTTAAGTGTCAGTGTGCGCGCGCTTTGTAAAAAATTCACTCTCATAATTTTTCACAAACGCCCCAAAAGAAGTATAACCTCAAATAGTATACAATAATTAAATACTAGTATTGACGTATGTTTTATAACTTTATCTGTAGATATATTCACAGCTCCAGTTGCCATTTAAAATAACCTCTGTTAATGAGGAGTTTTATATAATAGTAAAAATATTGAATGACATATTACAATCTCAAGACTATTAATTAATTATAGCAGTAACCCTCGTTCTGATAACACCACTCGGGCTCAAGTGATTCCGCTTTGATCCCCATGCGGACTAAATGTTCCCTGTAATAGAAAAAAAACAATGCAGACTTGCTTCCGCAAAATATGGTTAACGGTTATATTTCATATGTTGCATTAAGCCTAGTAATTATCATAGTGCAACACGGGTCACCGGAGGACAGGAGGGGAGTAGCCATAGCGTTTTTCCCCGATACAAAATTCTCTATCATTTTTGCAAGGGGAAATCTGCTCACACATAAATAAAAGTCTGTCACTACGAAACTTACACATACAATAAACTAACATTTTACACACATAGATACATTACGACAGAATTTTTATTTCTCATAAGAACATACAATGGGTCACTTATAATGAGATACAAAGTATATAGTTAGTATACTAGCGGTCCGCCGCGGCTTCGCACGGGTGATTATTTTAATTGATAACAGCGCCACTTACCGGGTCCAATCGTGAATCTAAACCATCTAGGGACTCATTCAAAAACACACAATCTTTTTTAATCAAAATCAGTGGAGCCGTTTTTAAGTTTTTTCGAGACTAACAGTTGATTTTTATATGTAGAGATTTTATTTATATTTTTAATGATTCCCTATAATTCTTAGGATACCCTATAATTAAATACTTGTCTAAATGATCAGCAATGACCTCACATGTATTGTGCACCTACGTTTCTCACATAGTTTATATTCTGCATAACTATACAATATTTTAGCAGCGTACGCATGATGTGTAGTCTGCGGCTACTGAGTTATACACTTGTCTAAATGGTCAGCAGTGACCTAATGTATTATGTACGTTTATTTCTTGTGTAGGTTGTGGTTGCATAGTTTATCTTGTCCAAATATTCATCACTGACCTATTTATGTACTTATGTATTATGTACCTATACTTGTGGTGTAGATTATGACTGCAGAGTTATACATTTTTTACTTAATGCATTATATAGGGTTATTTTTCAAAGACTATTGAAATTTTATATTTGAGGTCGATCATTGCAGTTTTTGAAAATACGAGTAAATAAGGCTTCTATCTTTATTTGAAATTATCCCAAATATAATGTGATTTATGTGCAACAATTACATGTACGGGCGCTCCTGTGTATGCGATTCAAATAACAACGTTTTTGCCGAACAAGCTACCCTTACGAATGTATGTGTGAGTAGTAAAATAGTAGGCGGTAAACGTTTATGAGTAACATCATCATCATCATCATCATTACAGTCCTTCACAAGTCCACTGCTGAAAATAGGTCTCCTCCAAAGAATGCCACAAAGTACGATCCTAAGCCATCTGCTTCCATCGACTTCCTGCATGTCTTACCAGGTCATCACTCCATCTAATGGTGGGACGCCTTACACTTCGCCTACCAGCACGATTTTTCCCCATCGGTTGTCGGTTCTTCGAGCTATAAGACTGGCCCTACCTGGCCTACTAATCTATGTCCGTCACTCTGGTTCTACTACGGATATCCTCATTTCTAAGTTTATCACACAGAGAAACCCCGAGGATAGCCCTCTCCATAGCTTACTGAGCGACCTTGAGCTTCCTCATATGGTCAGCAGTGAAGGACCACGTCGCCATTCCATAGGTCATCACTGACAACATCCAACTGTTGTGCAGTCTCGTTTTCAAGTTTTAAAATATATCTCACGAGAAGATGTGTCGTAATTTCCCGAACGCTGCCCAGCCGAGTGGAATCCGTCGATTGACCTCTCGGTTGAAGTTGGACTTACCTAGTCGGATTATTTGTCTCAGGTAAACATACTCGTCAACAACTTCGAGCTTAGTGCTCCCAACAACTACCGGCACAGGTGTGACATGGACGTTATACATGATCTTTATTTTGTCCATGTTCATCTTAAGACCTATCCGTTGGGAGACACTATTGAGGTCATTGAGCATAGTGCTTAAGTCCTTCAGCGATTCTGCCATAAGGACTATATCGTCGGCAAATCAAAGGTTAGTGATATACTCGCCATTGATGTTAATATCGTATGCTTTCTAGTCCAGTAGCTTGAAAACGTCTTCCAATGCAGCGGTGAAGAGTTTCGGGGATATAACGTCACCCTGTCTTACACCTCTCTGCAGTTGAATAGGTTTCGTAGTCTGGTTCTGTACTTGGATACCCATCGTAGCCCTACTGTATAAACACTTCAGCACTTCGATATACCGACAGTCAACTTGGCACTGCTGAAGGGACTGCAGCACCGCCCAAATTTCTACGACGAAATCAAAGGCTTTCTCATAGTCCACATACGCAAGACATAGTACCAAATTGTACTCCTTGGTCTTTTGTACAATCTGCCGAAGGGTATATATGTGTTCCATGGTGCTAAAGACCTTTCGGAAACCAGCTTGTTCGAGAAGCTGGAAGTTGTCGAGTCTACGTGCGAGACGATTACACCCCATGACAAAAGTTATGAGTGACAACTGACAACCAGTTCAAATTCATTAGCACGCATTCTGAATTTAAAAGATAAAAAGGCCAGAATGTAAGATATTGTTTTAATTAACTTTTCTTCACAATTCACATATATACTTATTTTGAACTTTCTCTGCAAATTTAGGCGTATATTGCAAAATAACGCTGTATATCTTTACTTCTTGTGTAGACTATAGACTGCAGAGTTATATACTTGTCTAAATGTTCAGCACTGACCTGATATGTAACATCCTGTACTCAGCGTCACGCCAGTTGCCTTGCGGCTCGCTCCAAAGCCGCTCGGCTAATGCAGCTGCTCTCGGCCACAAACGAGAGTCCAGGGCAGCAGTATCCACTTGTTCAGACCATAAAGCCGCTTCCCCACCTAGAAGTGAAAACTGTGGTTTGTAGAACGATATAAGAACTAAAGTATTATGGTAAATTATCGGTACGGTGAATGTGGCGGCGCTGTCGTCGCGCCACAAGCGAAACACATCGAAGCCTAAATCGCGTTAACAAATTTCCGAAGTTAAAACAGTATATATAGAATAGCTCCGAACTACCATTCGGAGCGTTGGCCGCTCCCCGGGCAGAACACCTTGCCCGGCGGGAGATCTCCCCTTTTCCTTCCACCCGCCACAGTGAAGTATTTTATCTTAGTCCTTAGGAGTGACAAGGCTTATCCAAGGATTGAGGAGTCGACAGCGTATCAGTATTCAATAGAATCATTGAATTATAATGTACTTGTACGTAGTACATATTACTTCAATGTATAGGATGCATTTCGGAGTATGCGCACGAGTTCGCGCCCTTCCTTTTCCACCATCGGACAACTAGTTGGTTTCACTCCTTTGTATTCGCTTGTTAATATTCCATTCATTCAAACCAAACGCTTTGAAATCATCTTTCGTAATAGGCGCAGCAAAGGAGTGAAATAATCTACCGGCGTCTAAAAAAAAGCTTTTACAAAAATTTACTTCGCAAATATCCGCGTTATAAAATAAAATGATGTGTCTTACCTAGTATGAAGAAGCACCTCCAGCCCTCCCTCAATTGCGTGCACTAACCGCTAAGTGATTAGCCACCGTAGAGTCTATATCACCTGAGGATGCCTCGTGTAGAGGCGAAACACGTGTCGTATTATCGTCAGTGGTGTGTCTTGCCTAGTGTAGTGGTGTTGGAAGTAGCGGTGCTGGGATTATTGGTGACGGGGATAGTGCACGCAATTGAGGGAGGGCGGGAGGTGCTTCTTCATACTAGGTAAGACACATCATTTTATTTTATAACGCGGATATTTGCGAAGTAAATTTTTGTAAAAGCTTTTATATAATGGATTTCCGCAAAGTAACGCCTGATTCTATTAATTATTCTACCGGCGTCTTTCTATCCATCCGATTAAAATATAGGTGTCTTCAAGGCAAGCGTGAACAGGCTTTTACTACGTTAATACTATAGTGTAATTTACCCTAATATCTTTATCACCACCTACTGTAATCAAGCACTGACTGATAAGTATAAAAAGGTAGATATCTAAGTGCCATATCATCCACTAAAAACTTACTGGACTTTGAACTTACCAAGTATAAGATCGCTGTATTCTCTCGCCATCACCTTGGGACTGTTGTCATACACCTTCTGCCAACCGATGTACGGAGAGCACCAGTTGTTGCCTGGGGATGAAGGACCAAAAGATAGGGTTAGGATCACGCTAACAGTATGTGACAATGTTTTATTTATTTATTTTATACTAGCGATACGCCCCGGTTGCAATCCAATTCACCTGGGTCCAATTGAGGATATAAGCCATCCAGAGACCCATATAAACACACACAAAAATTTTCATCAAAGTCGGTCGAGCCCTTTTCGAAATTTAGCGAGACTAATGGACAACAATTGATTTTTATTATATAGAAGACATCCTTAATTGCTGTGTAGTGGTGGTGTAAGAATATCCACTAACTCATATCGTCCCGTGGATGTCGTATGAGATGACAGAGTGAAACAAACCAGGTGTTGGACAGCAGCGTCTTCCTAATAACCGCTAGAAACTGCGGATGCTAATTAAAAGCGCCAAACGTGGCAACTATGGCACAGTGGCAATCTTTGGGGAGGCCTATGTTGAGCAGTAGACTGAGATATAGGAGAAGATCTTAATGTGAAGGGCGTTATACATAAATATATTACACATATGTTCAGAGAGGATATCTGTTCTCGACGCTTCGGTAGTCTTGAAGGTATGGACCTGTCCATCCTTTGGCTGTGTGTAGACAGCGACGACCATCCCCGCGTCTACGGGTGCCTGTATAGGTCCCATAGCGGTAATTCCGACACAGACCAACTCATTGACCACGTACAAATGGTTACAGATTTCTTGCTACAACAGATCCCATCCGTAGATATCGTAATATTTGGCGATTTTAACGCCCACCACGCCAAATGGCTCAGTTCACGTTTAACCAATCATGCGGGGAGATCTGTTTATGACTTTGCCTTGGTATATGGTCTGACACAACTGGTTACATTCCAGATGATTCCCTGTTGGACCTTCTGCTGACTTCTCATCCGGAAGGATATTAGGTTTCCATCGATGCCCCTCTCGGTTCTTCGGACCATTGTCTGATCCGAAGTGTGGTGCCACTCACGCTCCCCTTGCGGTTACGTTCTGCAGGCTGTCGTCGTGTTTGGCATTACAGGTCGGCGGATTAGGACGGAATGCGATTTTTATTTGCATTCTACCCATGGGGTCGGGTATGCTTTTTGCCGGATGATCCCAGCGCTGATGCTGAGTCTATCACTGATGTGGTGCTACAGGAAATGGAACTATTTATTCCATCATCTGTGGTACCCATCGGAGGCAGATCTCAGTCTTGGTTTGTTCGCTCCTGTAAGACTGCATTACGCAATAAGCAGGAGTGTTATCAGGCCTGGGATGATGTTTCAGCGGCTCGGGATGTAAACACCAGCATGCTTAAAAAGAAGTATAACTTTGCCTCCAGGCCCTTCAAAAGCATTATTGCCAGGGCAAAATATAAGCACATTGGCAGAATTGGCGAGAAACTAGTTCGCCTTCCTTCGGGAACCTGTGCATTCTGGTTCTCGCCAAGGCTGTTAAGGGAATTTCTGTAAGCCATTACTACCATCTCTGCAACAAAGGGATCTGCCAACAAAGGGAGGATGACTCACTGGCCCACGCCGCAAAAGAGAAAGCCGACCTTTTAGGCTCCCTTTTTGCGTCCAACTCGACTCTCGATGACGGAAGAACACACCGCCGACCATCCCGCAATGTGAGTGCTCTATGCCTGATATACGATTCACATAGTGCTCATTAAGTTAAGCACTCCTCTCCCTGGACTTCAAATCTGTCAAAACCTCCAGGTCCTTCAAAATAGTTATTGCCAAGGCAAAGTCAGAGCACATAGGCAGAATTGGCGAGAAACTAGTTCGCCTTCCTTCGGGAACCTGTCTCGAACCAGCCTTGCCAAGGCTGTCCAAGGGAATTTCTCTAAGCCATCACTACCATCTCTGCACAGAGAGAACGACTCACTGGTCCCTGCCGCAAAAGAGAAAGCCGACCTTTTAGGCTCCCTTTTTGCGTCCAACTCGACTCTTGATGACGGGGGGAAAACACCGCCGACCATCCCGCGGTGCGAGTGCTCCATGCCGGATGTGCTGTTCTCACAGCGCTCGGTTCGCAAAGCACTTCTCTCCCTGGACATCCAGAAGTCGAGTGGGCCTGACGGGATCCCCCCAATTGTGCTGAGGACGTGTGCTCCGGAGTTGGCACCGGTCCTAACGCGTCTTTTCCGGTACTCCTACTCATTAGATATTGTCCCAAATTCGTGGAAGATAGCTTTCGTTCACACGATCCCTAAAAGAGGTACCGCTCTGATCCGTCAATTACAGGCCTATCGCCATCACGAATGTTCTTGAAATTAATGGAGTCTATCATTTACTGCCAGCTCATGCGGTACCTTTAAGAGCACCAGCTGATTAGTGACCGCTAGTACGGTTTACGTTGGGGTCGCTCAGCTGGTGATCTTCTTGTTTACTTAACACATCAATGGGCACAGGCGGTCAAGTCCAAGGGGGAGGCCTTTGCGGTTAGTTTGGACATAGGGAAGGCTTTCGATCGGGTCTGGCACAAAGCGCTTTTTTCGAAGCTTTGTTCCTAAGGGCTTCCCGAGAAATTGTGCAATTGGATCACCAGTTTTCTGGCTGATCGGAGCATCAAGGTCGTAGTAGACGGTGCATGCTCCGATTACAAGCCTATTAGCAATGGTGTTCCACAAGGCTGCGTGCTATAACCAACGCTGTTTCTTCTACATGTCAATTATGTTGCAAAGCGGTAACATTCATTGTTATGCGGATAACAGCACTGGTGATGCTCTATACACGGACCGTGCCATTATTTCTCAGGAAAACATCGTCGAGTACCGGAACCATCTTGTGTCAGAAGTCGAGTCTTTGCTGAACAAAGTCTCGGATTGGGGGCGACGAAATCTAGTCCAGTTTAATCCTCAGAAGACACAAGTTTGCGCGTTTACCGCTAAAAAGAACACATTTATCGTATCTCCTCAGTTTCAAGGCACTCCCCTTGTTGCCTCAGCCAGTATCGGAATCCTCGACGTCAACATATCGAGTGACGTGCAGTTTCATGGTCACTTGGAAGAGAAGGCCAAATTGGCCCCTAAAAAGCTTGGCATGCTCAGCAGAGCGGGACAGTATTTCATGCCAGCACACCGTTTGCAACTTTACAAGGCGCAGGTTCGGCCTCACATGGAATACTCTTCTCATCTCTGGGCTGGAGCTCCCCAGTGCCAGCTCCTTCCACTTGACCGAATCCAGCACAGAGCGGCTCGAATCGTCGACGATCGAGTCCTTTCCGATCGGCTCTATTCACTGGCGCTGCGAAGAGATGTTGCATCTCTTTGCGTATTTTATCGCATCTACCACGGGGAGTGCTCTGAGGAATTGTTCTGACTAATTCCAGCCACACAATTTCACAATCGCACATCGCGACAAAACTCACGCTACCATCCATACCATCTGGATGATTGGCGGTCCACCACTATGTGATTTAGAAGGTGTTTTCTTCCTCGCACAACTTCCTTGTGGAATCGATTACCCACAGCGATTTTTCCGGACCGATACGACTTAGGGATCTTCAAGAAAAGAGCCTACTCCTTTTTAAAAGGCCGGCAACGCATCTGCAATTCCGCTGGTGTTGCAGTTGTTCATGGGCGGCGGTAGATGCTTACCATCAGATGAGCCGCATGCTCGTCAACCTCCGCTCCTATAAAAAAGACAGACGAACACTTAGACCCGCAACAATTATTTGCAGGTCATACAAACATATGTTTCGTAAGGGATTCGAACCTGCAGCCGTAAAGTGTCGTAACCGAATATTTAGAAATTGCTCTACTGATCATAGCGTTCGCTTTAAGTTATAAAAATATAAAAAAAAGTTACAGTCTATGTATGACCCACTTCTGGGCACAGGCCTCCTCTCATTGCTGAAAAAGTTTTGTAAGGGCCAATTTAGAATTAAAATATTTTAGCTTTGATTTAATCTATACATATAATAAAAATGTAAAAAGCAGACGTCTGTACATTTTATATTTTTGTAATAAAAGTGATTGAGAGGTACTAAAAATAAGTAACTAAATACATTTCTACCATTTTTAGAATTTTCTGTCTGTCTGTCTGTCTGTCTGTCTGTCTGTTTGTTTGTTAACGTATCACGTATAAAGTACTAATTTATATCATAAGAATCATTAAGGAAAATATAAAGTGTATCTTCGTGTTACATTTAGTCTTTATTTTATTAAAATCAGTTCATTCAATCAAAAGTTATGATAAATATACTGAAGTATGAATACGAAGTATAGGTACGAATTTGTTCAACGGTGGCGTTGGTTGAGTCATCATGTGCATTTTAAACTAATACTATATCATAAATCATAATTAAATTAGGTAAAATAATGTTCTATAATGATATAATTATATCTAAAACGCAGTAAACAAAAGTATTAAAGAACGTATTAAAAAAATATATACAAAAAAATATTATAACCTTATTAACTAAATCTAAAGTGAAATAGTTAACCAATTTTATCGATAGATGGCGGTATGGTCGAAATGTAATATAATAAGGCGTTTTGCTTACTATGCAGACATTGGTTTATAAGTTCTTTTATGTTTTATATATTATATAATAATGTACCAATCGCGTCAATTAATCTCTTTTATTTTTACAATTGATACTATAATAAAAATGGTGATAACATGTTGTGTCTGTTTTTGTACATTGTATAGAATATTTGTCACTAAAATCATTACAGGGTAATGAAAATAATTAAGTAAACACATTTTTATAATTTTTAGAATTGTCTGTCTGTCTATCTGTTTGTTTATAAACGCATCACATCTAAAGTAAACATTTTTTTTTAAAGAAATCGTTAAGAAAATCATAAAGCCTATCTTTAAGTTACATTTAATTTTTGTTTTATTAAATTTGGTTAATTCTATCGAAAGTTATGATTATTAATTTAAAATGTAGGTTCTAATTTGTTCAATGGCGCCATAAACTCTCAGAAAAAGTAATAAAAAGATTTGTGTGTAAAAAAACGTTCTATAATAATATATTTATACTTAAAACAAAGTAAACAATAAAAAAGATGTTTTCCTTAAATTAAAAAAGTTTTTTCACAACGAACGTAATAGATGGCACTGTACAAATTACATTCTTTTCTGAATTGCGGCGTTAAGATACTCCGAATCGTATTGAGACTCACTGACGTGCAGTCACAGTCTCACAAATAACCATACATTACCCAGAACCAATGTAGATATTATATATTTTCGATTTTCGATTTCAATTTCAACTTAATAAATTAAATTAAATGATATATATTATGAGAAATAAATATATATGTATATATAAGTAAAATAGTCAATTTATTTTGTATCAGATTATAATGAACATACTAATATCCGAAATCACAACTTCCCACAACTCAATCAACAGCAAACTCATATCCCAACTTCAAAGGATGCTACATGAAATAAATCCATACGTTCATAGTATTAGGGTTGCATTGCAATCGATCCGTCAAGATTTAATAAACAATTATAAAATAGTTATTAACGCTGACAGACGTCCTGTTACTAAAAAAAAAAAGTTACTGAACACCGCGGTAGCAACGTTCCTGTCACTGATGAAGTGGCAGTGGTATTAGTTGACCAGGAGTGCGATAGACGTGACATCGTGTTGCACACACATGACGATTTTTGAAACGCATCGATATTATGATGCTTTACAATATCCATTAATATATTGTCACGGTGAAAATGGGTACAATTTCGGAATTTATCAAGTTAATCCTAATACCAGAGAGACCAATTTTAATAAAAAAATATTTTCTCTGCAATTTTATTCGCACCTGTTACATGTAAGGCATATATCTTCTTGCGTATCTGCAAAGATTTCGGGGGTTGTTTTACCAATTTATAGTGGACATGTATGCCAAAATAGAGATAGAGCGCTTAGTGTATATACGCACTAACCAGAGACGTCTGTTACACTGACGTCTAATAAGTGATATTGATACAGTAATGATATAAATCGTTTAATATTTTCTTACCTGAATGTCAAATTCTCCAAGTAAAACCTATATACGCGAGCTACGCCGCGGGCACAGCTAGTAACATAATAAAAATGAGTTGACGTACGGTGACGATATAAGAGAATTAATTAGAGAAGAGTGGGTATCGTAAGAGATGATTACGCTAAACACCAGAAAGATCTCATGGCCGCTAACACACATTATATCATGATGATAATCATTATTATTAGTATTATTACAGTCCATTAAAAGTCCACTGCAGAGCATAAGCTTCTCCCATAGAATGTCACAAAGCAGGGTCTTGTATCAACTGCACGTCTCACCAGGTCATCACTCCATCAGCAAAGTGAAAATGTTAAGTGAAATACTCACCGCTGCCAACCCAAGCTCCAAATCCACAGTCCAAGTATAGCGCGTCGTAGTTGGAGATGATCAGACGGTAACCTTGTTTCAGTAGGTTTCTGATCTGAGGGTCTGATCCTGTGGTCCAAACCTAAGAGAAAACATTTATAACGATATTAAATTTTTATCACTTGATTACTGAAAGAAGTAATAATAATATTGTGTTGTAATAATAATTATAATATTATATTACGTGGTAGAGCCACGCTGCAGCCACACTATGGTTGTAGCACAAATGTGTCGGCTCGACCGGAATAGGACCACGCTCTCACAGAACACCAGCGTAAAATAGCAGCTTAATGCTAGTGTGGTGAGAGTAGAGAAACCCAGATACCCTTTTTACTGGAAACGAGGCATTCCCTCTCAGTCCTCAGGGGTGACAGCGCATCTGCATTTTGATTCTTAATTGAAGATAAATGTAGATGTCTATAGGCCACAGCACTACGCCCCGTAGAGTGGCGGGTAAGAATACTCACTACCCCATATCCTCCCGTGGGTGTCGTAAAAGGCGACAGAGGGAAACTGTGGCAGAAGATTGACAGCAGTATCTTTCTGATAACAGCAAAAAGCAATAAAAAACTGCGGTTGTCAACCCGCTCGTCAAGCGTGGCAACTATGGCAATATACCCCCCATGAGCAATGACATTAAAATACGGCCCCCAGTCCCCGGCGGCCTCGTTATTCCTGGCTACGGTGGCGACCATGGTAACGGCGGAGCAGGGGGTGCTAAGAATCTCCGGTGGAGGTTTGGTTGCCACCCACGACGTCTCGACCTGGCAACTTATCATCGATCAGCGATCAGCGATCACCGAATGGTTAGAGGCACACTGAACCTAAAAGTTAAGTTGGAGAGGTCTCGTCTAATGAAATCAACGCTCCGTCTCCCGCGTGCTCTAATCCAAAGTCCCGAATCCTTTCAGCTCGAGTTATAAAATCGTTTACAGTGCCTAGAAGATTGCAATGTAGTGGACGATGTATATGACAAGCTCGTGGAAACTAGGAGCTAATTTTTGCAAAACCCGCCGCAGAAGAACACAAAAACTCTCCGATCACACTCTTAATTTCATGACTGTTATACGAGAAATGAAGTTGCAGTCTTCAGTAGATTTGATAGCATACAGGCAACTGAAGAGACAGATCTCCAAACGCATGCGGCGGGACTTACGCAATTTTAATACTGCTCGTATTGAAGAAGCGATCGAGCGGAACGAGGGCTCCAAAGTCTTTGCCAGAGATCTGTCTGCCAGAAAGTGCCAAATGTCGAATTTGAAGACCAAATGTGGCAGCATCGTTTCCGAGACACGTGAAATTTTGAGTGATATTGAGAAGTTCTATGGGCAGCTATACACGTCATCGTTGGAGCCACACGCTAGTGTGAGAAACGATCCAAGAGCAAGTCTTATCCGACACTATTCCGATAATATCCTGGACGTCAGTCTATGCAAGATTAGAATGGCTCTCCAGCACTTTAAAAACAGCAAGGCCCCAGATTAGGTATGACGGACCTACGTGCACGGGCTCATCCCGAAATTGTTGGCTAGGTAAGCCTATTTTTTTATTGTATTTTTATAATGATTTAATGTTGATTAATTATCTCATTGTCCATATTAATATAATTAATTAATGTCAAAGTAAAAACCTGATGCTATTAATTTTAAAATATTGCGAACACAAAAATTTTAATTTTATCTCCAATACTCACCTGGATAATGTAGTCGTCTTTATCCAAGAAGTTATCGACGTGAGTGTAGTCGGTCATGGTGCTTGTCCAAACTATGAGGGGCAGTCTCTTCCCGAATGCCTATAAAATAACAAAATATAACTTCGTAAGAAATAAATTTCGTTTGTCTGATACAATACAACTCATAAATTTATTACTAATTTCACGTTACGTTTTAAATTAAGGTTCTTCCTGAAGAAGCAACGACGAGAAAATTTTGGCGGAAAACCAATAAATCCTACATAGTTTATGTAAGTAGTCCGCATAAGACAAAAATTTCACGGGGCAAGCTGAGTAACAAGACCTAAAGGACTCGCGATTCACGCTTACGTGAATTTCTGCAACATCAGGGGACTTTATGCGAACCTAAGCGCCGGTCACTACCATCTGGAAACAGCGACGCCGACCTAGCTCTTTCTGATATCAAACTGGTACACTCCTTTGTGCCTCGGGCTGGAGTTTGCGTATACGTCAGAGAGGACATCTGTTCTCTACGAAGGTTCGGACCTGTCCATCCTTTGGCTACGCGTAAACAGCGACGACCATCCGCGCGTTTACGGATCCCTCTATAGGTCCCATAGTGATAATGCCGACACAGACCCACTCATCCACCACGTCCAAATGGCTACAAATTCCCTGCTACGGCAGCAGATCTCATCTGCAGAGATCGTGATCCTTGGCGATTTTAACGCCCACCACGCCGAATAGCTCGTTTCAAGTTTAACTAATCATGCGGGGAGATTTGTTTATAACTTTGCCTTGGTATATGGTCTGACACAACTCTTTACTTCACCTACACGGATTCCTTCCCACCTTGCCGGTTGGACCTTCTGCTGACCTCTTATCCAGACGGGCATCAGATCTTCATCTACGCCTCTCTTGGCTCCACGGAACATCGTCTAGTCCGGAGTGTGTTTGGCACTATAGGTCGACTGACTGGGATAGTATGGGGTGTTTTTTTGCATCCTACCGTTGGGGGAGGGTTTCCTTCTCGCGATCCCAACGTTGTTGCTGATTCTGTCGCTGATGTGGTACTTCAGGGTATGGAACTTTTTATTCCATCTTCTGTGGTGCCCATAAACACTCCTCTCCCTAAACATCCACAAATGGAGTGGGCCTGACGGAATCCTCCCTACTCCTCCTCTTTTCCAGTACTCCTACTCCCTAGGCATTGTCCCAAATTCATGGAAGACAGCTTTCGTGCACCCGATCCCAAAAAAAGGTAACCGCTCTGATCTGTCTAACTACAGGCCTATTGCCATCATCTCCTTGTTCTGCGAAGTAATGGAAACTATTATTAACTGCTAGCTCATGAGTTACCTTGAAGAATATCAGCTGATTAGTGAACGCTACTACGGTTTCCGTCGGGGTCGCTCAGCTAATGATCTTCTTGTTGACTTAGCACATCAATGGGCGCAGGCGGTCGAGTCCAAGGGGGAGGCCTTGGCGGTTAGCTTAGACATAGCAAAGGCCTTCGATCGAGTTTGGCACAAAGCGCTTCTTTCGATGCTTCCATCTTATGGGCTTCCCGAGAAATTGTACAATTGGATCACCATTTTTCTCGCTGATCGGAGCATCAAGGTCGTAGTAGACGGTGCATGTTCCGATTACAAGTCTATCAATGCTGATGTGCTATCACCTACGCTGTTCCTTCTACATATCAATGATATGTTGCAAACCAGTAGCATTCATTGCTATGCAGACGGCAGCTCAGGTGATGCTTTTTATACCGGCCGTGTCAATATTTCTCGGAATCACGTCAACGAATACCGGAACAAACTTGTGTGTGGAGTCGAGTCGTTGTTAAACAAAGTCTCGGATTGGACATGACTCAATCTAGTCCAGTTTAAACCTGAGAAGACACAGGTTTGCATCTTTACCGCTAAGAAGAACCCCTTTGTCGTATCTTTTCAATTTCGGGGCACTCCCATTTCAGCCTGCCTTAGCTAGCATCGGAAGCCTCAGCGTCGACATATCGAATGATGTGCAGTTTCGTGGTCATTTGTAAGGGAAGGCTAAATTCGCCTCTAAAAACCTTGGCGTGCTAAGCAGAGCGAGACAGTATTTCACGCCGGCACACCGCTTGCAACTTTACAAGGCGCCAGTTCGGCCTCACACGGAATACTATTCTCATCTCTGGGCCGGGGCACCCTAGTGCCAGCTCCTTTCACATGACTGCATTCAGCACAGTCGGCTCGATTCACTGGCGCTGCAAAGGGATGTCGCATCCCTTTGCATTTTCTATCGCATCTACCACGGCGAGTGCTCTGAGGAATTGTTCGGATTAATTCCTGCCGCCAAATTTCACGAAACAATCCACCACCGTGAGTTTTACTAGAGGATTTCTTCCTAGCTTAACCGAACCGCTACGACTTAGGGACCTTCAAGAAAAGAGCTTACTCCGTTCTAAAAGGCCGGCAACTCACTTACAATTCCCAGTGTTGCAGTTATTCATGGGCGGCATACACTTACCATCAGATAAGCCGCAAGCTCGTTTATATAAAAATCGTATACTATAAAAAAAAAAAACAAGATTTTCGGATATTTTGTGTGCAACAGTGATCTCTTATGGGCTGATATCTTTATCAAGAAAAAAGAAAGATGCGTTCGTGAGTGTGTGTCAAGGACTTGAGTACGGTTTTCATCGCTCTGTCTATCTTTATTTGTTGGTCTGAGTTACATTAAAAAAGATTTAATATTAAAAAAGAATTTAAAGAAAATCAATGTAATTTTTGTAGTGATAACAACTGAGCGAAAGTTCGTTTGAAATTGAAAATACATTGAAGATTTCAAGAGTAAGTATAAATATTTATGAGTAACTGCCAACACTGTACCTTATAAGCCCTGTTTTGAGCCTTAGTCTGGAAGTAGTTCCAGAGCTTGAGGTAACTGGCTTTGTCTAGGTCCCACCTGTTCTGGACCATGAACTGACGGATCTCCTCGGAACTGTTCCAACATCTCTCGCTCACCTCGTCACCGCCCATGTGGAATATGTCCGGGTTAAACGACTCTGGAAAATTATTGAAATTTTTAATTAATCTGAAGTATGTCTTCATTTTTATTGAATATAATGTAAAATAATTTTTAAACTTGTTAACAATATTATAATAATAATAAAATAAACCCTGCAAATATCCTACTCTACATTCGTATCAATCTCACGATTCTCACTTCTACAGCGTGTGAGCTACTGATGGACGATATAAATCGATGCATTAAAAAAAGTCGATGCAAATTATCGATACATCGAATCAATCGGATGTTTTTTGATGTGTTTTATTCGATTCATCGAAGAGGCAAACTTGCTAGAAAGCAATATATTGCTTTCGAATAAGCGCCACTTTGCGAGTAGTCATGGAACCGACAAATGGTAAAATTAAGTTTTTTTTTTTACAACAACCGACCTCAATATAAATTATTAAGGATAACTCAAAAACTATTTGTCAGACCTTGATCAAATTTTCATGAATATATGAGACCACATGTGAAGCACTAGCTTTCAAATAAATAAAGAATCATCGAAATTGGTTCACCGAAAAAAAAAGTTATGAGGTAACCTTTAAAAAACCTAACACATCGGTAAAAAAATCAAAGTCCACATCGCCATCTATGGAAAACGAAATAAATCCTCCTCGCCAAATAAGGAAAACGAATTTTATCCTCGGACTTGGTCTTTTCGGTTCGATGACTACTCGCAAAACAATGGTATCCACCTGCTACAAATACTTTGTAACGAATTCTAATCAAAACCTTGTTGAATTCTATTGAATTATTTTTGTCATTGTTTTAGTTACTCCCTTCATATAATTGACAATCGTCTAGTAACGTCTAGTCAACTGTCAAACAAATGACAGTCGCGCTCCCATCCCTATGGCACCCGTATTAGCCAAGTGACAAGCCGTAAAAAAACTTTAAAAGCACATGTTTTTTTTATTCTCCTTTTGAACATTAACAGCAATAATTTACTACATTGGAATAAAAATGAATTATGTATAACTATTTTGAAAACTAACTACTTTCAACAATTTGAACGTGGTAGAGCCATGTTGAAGCTATATTACAGTATAGTTGTAGCACGAATGGGTCGGCTCGACCGGGGAAGGACCACGCTCTCACAGAATACCAGCGTCAAATAGCAGCTTAACACTGCTGTGTTTCGTATGGTGAGTGTAGAGAACCGGAGACCCTTTTTACTGGAAAAGAGGCATTGAGTGGTGAGTGCACCATATGAAACACAGCAGTATCAAGCTGCCATTTTACGCTGGAATTCTGTGAGAGGTCCTCTCTCGGTCGAGCCGACCCATTCGTACTACAACTATACTACTAATATAGCTGCAGCATGGCTCTACCACGTACAAAAATTTAAAAATAATTGATCACACATGTGATTTTTACACACAATTTGCTTTTGCTTTTTCAAAAATATTTTTGCAAATTTGCACTAAGAAATTGATAGTAGGCACTTGGCTAATTAAAATTAATTGTAGTTCTTACCTAGCGTTCATGTACACAATGATATGTGAAATAAAGTTATAAAAAAACTACTTTTAAAAAATATGTTTTGTAAGTCTTAGGTTATATTTTTTTGGAAAGGTCATTTTGCTATAAACCATGCAATAATATTCCACTAACCTGCCATGTCGGTGTAAATGTCTTGCAAATAATCATACAGCTCTTCCCTGGTCGGGTTAAGTTGGCCGCAAGGAGGTTCCACGCAAAGAGAACTCCAGGGTTCTGCCTGCAAGTAAATAATGCAAATATTATTTAAATTTCAAGGCACTTCCCTTGCTGCCTTGCTTGGAATCCTCAGCGTCGATATATCAAATAGTGAGCAGTTTCGTGGTCACTTGGAAGGGAAGGCCAAACTGGCCTCTAAAAAGCTTGGCGTGCTCAGCAGAGCGAGACAGTATTTCATGCCGGCACATCGCTTGCAACTTTACAAAGCGCAAATCCGGCCTCACATGGAATACTGTTCTCATCTCTGGGCCGGGGCACCCTAGTGCCAGCTCCTTCCACTTGACCGCATCCAGCGCAGAGCGGTTAGAATCGTCGACGACCGAGTTCTTTCTGATCGGCTCGATACACTGGCACTGCGTAGAGATGTTGCATCTCTTTGCGTATTTTATCGCATTTACCACGGGGAGTGATCTGAGGAATTGTTCGGACTAATTCCAGCCGCTCAATTTTACCATCGCACATCGCAACAAAACTTGCGATACCATCCATACCACCTGGATGATTTGCGGTCCACCACTGTGCAATTTAGAAGATGTTTCCTTCCTTGCACAACTGCCTTGTGGAATCGATTACCACCAGCGATTTTTCCGTATCGATACGACTTAGGGACCTTCAAGAAAAGAGCCTACTCCTTTTCAAAAGGCCGGCAACGTATCTGCAATTCCCCTGGTGTTGGGTTTGTTCATGGGCGGCGGTAGTCACTTACCATCAAGTGAGCTACATGCTCGTTTGCCCCCTCTCCTATAAAAAAATCATAATTTAACATCATCATCATTACAACCCGTCACAAGTCCACTGCTGAGTATAAGCCTCCAATAACCAACGCTACAAAACAAATTCCTGGGTCAGCTTCTTCAATCGACTTCCTAGTCTTGCCATTTTGTAACTCCATCTATTAAGTAATAAATATTTCTATTGAAATTAACTTAAACTGTTTTTATAGGAGAGAGGGATAAAGGAGCATACGGCCCACCCGATGATATATGACTACCGCCGCCCATCAACAACTGCAACACCAGGGGAATAGCAGATGCGTTGCCGGCCTTTTAAAAGGAGTAGGTTTTCTCGAAGGCTTCTAAGTCGTATCGGTCCGGAAAAATCGCAGTTGGTAGTCGATTCTACAAGGAAGTTTTGCGAGGAAGAAGAACATTTGGCAAGCGGGTTGGCATCCAATTTTTTTAAATTGATATTAGGAAGAAGCTGCTACCCATCTCCTTATTTGTTTGTTTCTGTCGTCTCTTCCGACACCCACGGGTCGATTTGAGTAGTGGATATTCTTACACAACTACACGGTGAGTAATAAGTCATAGGTATACATTATAAAGGAGGATCGGATGCTGTGGTGTGGTGTTACATCTATCCTCGATTAGAAATCAAAATTAATATGTGTTATTACCCATGAGGACTAAGATAGAATGCCTTATTGCCAGCGATGTTATGATGTTCAGTTCTCTACACTCACCATATGAACTCAGCAGCATGAAGCTGCTATTTCACGCTGGTATTCTTGGTCCTTCCGCGGCCAGGCCAACCCATTCGTGCTACAATATAACTGCTACATTGCTCTACTACGTTTTTTTATATAATGAGGGTGACAAACGAGCACACAGTCCACCTGATGATAAGTGAACGCTGTGGCCTATAGACATCTATATTTATCCTCAATTAAAAATCAAGATGCAGACGCGTTGTTTCAATGCAATTCAATGCAAAACTAGGCATATGAGAGAACGGTGAGCTGAAAGTGGGGAAATTTGGAATAGGGCAACGGAACCCAAGGGACCAGCAGCTGGCCGACTTCATGGAGAAAGAGGGACTCTTTATGATGAACTCTTTCTTCCAGAAGCGGCCCCACAGGAAGTGGACCTGGTCGAGCCCCGACGGTTCGACAAAAAATGAGATTGACTTCATTATGACGACCAGACGACAACTGTTCAGTGATGTCTCAGTGATCGCGAGGGTGAAAACCGGCAGCGATCACCGAATGGTTAGAGGCACACTGAACCTAAACGTTAAGTTGGAGAGGTCTCGTCTAATGAAGTCAACGCTCCGTCCCCCTCGTGCTCTAATCCAAGGACCCGAAACCTTTCAGCTCTAGTTACAAAACCGTTGTCAGTGCCTAGAAGACTGCTATGAAGTGGACGATTTGAATGACAAGCTCGTGGAAAATGTCCATGCGGTCGGAGCTAAGTTCTGCAAGACCCGCCGCAGAAGAACACAAAAACTCTCCGATCACACTCTTAATCTCATGGCTGTTAGACGGGAGATGAAGCTACATTCTTCAACAGATTTGACAGCATACAGGCAACTGAATAGACAGATCTCCAAATGCATGCGGCGGGACTTACCCAACTTCAATACAGCTCGTATTGAAGAAGTGATCGAGCGGAACCAAGGCTCCAAAGTCTTTGCCAGAGATCTGTCTGCCAGAAAGAGCCAACTGTCAAGAATGGCTCTCCAGCACCTTAAAAACGGCAAGGCCCCAGGCGAGGATAGAATTACAGCGGAGCTTCTGAAAGCGGGTGGAAAACCGGTACTTGAAGTCCTTCAGAAGCTCTTTAATTCCGTCCTCCATAGTGGCATTACACCGGAGGCGTGGAGCAGAAGTGCAGTGGTCTTGTTCTTCAAGAAAGGCGACAACGCTCTCTTGAAGAACTACAGACCGATTTCCCTTCTGAGCCGCGTCTACGTGCTGTTTTCGAGAGTCATTACGAATCGTCTCGCGTGCAGACTTGACGACTTCCAGCCTCCCGAACAAGCCGGTTTCCGAAAAGGCTTTAGCACCATAGACCACATACATACCCTTCGGCAAATTGTACAGAAGTCCGAGGAGTACAATTTGCCACTATGTCTGGCGTATGTGGACTATGAGAAAGCCTTTGATTCCGTCGAAATTTGGGCGGTGCTGCATGCCCTTCAGCGATGCCAAGTTGACTGTCGGTATATCGAAGTTTTGAAGTGCTTGTACAGTAGGGCTACGATGGCTATCCGAGTACAGAACCAGAGTACGAAACCTATCCAATTGCAGAGAGGTGTAAGACAGGGTGACGTCATATCCCCGAAACTCTTTACCGCTGCATTGGAAGATGTTTTCAAGCTTCTGGACTGGAAAGGATACGGTATCAACATCAATGGCGAGTACATCACTCACCTTCGATTTGCCGATGATATAGTCCTTATGGCAGAATCGCTGGAGGACCTAAGCACTATGCTTAATGAACTCAATAGTGTTTCCCAACGGATAGGTCTTAAGATGAACATGGACAAAACAAAGATCATGTTTAATGTCCATGTCACACCTATGCCGGTAGTTGTTGGGAACACTAAGCTCGAAGTTGTTGACGAGTATGTTTACCTGGGACAAATAGTCCGACTAGGTGAGTCCAACTTCGACCGAGAGGTTAATCGACGGATTCAACTCGGCTGGGCAGCGTTCGGGAAATTACGGCACATCTTCTCGTCAGGTATACCTCAAAACTTGAAAACGAGACTGTACACCCAGTGCGTGTTGCCAGTGATGACATACGGAACTGAGACGTGGTCCTTCACTGCTGGCCGGATGAGGAAGCTCAAGGTCGCTCAGCGAGCTATGGAGAGGGCTATGCTCGGAGTTTCTCTGCGTGATAATGAGAAGATGATTTCTCAGAAATGAGGATATCCGCAGTAGAACTAGAGTGACCGACATAGCCCAACGGATTAGTAAGCTGAAGTGGCAATGGGCCGGCCATATAGCTCGAAGAACCGACAACCGATGGGGATGAGGTTCTCGAGTGGCAGCCTCGTACCGGCAGGCGAAGTGTAGGGCGTCCCCCCACGAGATGGAGTGACGACCTGGTAAGACATGCAGGAAGTCGATGGATGCAGGTGGCTCAGGACCGTGCTTTGTGGCATTCTTTCGGGGAGGCCTATGTTCAGCAGTGGACTTGTGAAGGGCTGTAATGATGATGATGATGAGACGCGTTGTTACCCCTGAGGACTGAGATGGAATGCCTCAGTAAAAAGGGTCTCCGGTTCTCTACACTCACCATAAGAAACACAGCGGCATTAAAGCTGCCCGGACCCGGACCCCAGTTGAGCCAAACCATTCGTGCTGCAACCACAATACAGCTGCAGCATGGCTCTACTACGTAAAAACGTACGTATGGATATACCAAATAAATTAAGACAAAACTCCTACCTTAAAGCAAACAGTGAGGTCGGTGTCTTGCCAGCCTTCGCCGACGTGTGCCGGGGCATCGAACTCCGGAAGCACTCGTACACCCCTCACTAGACCATACTCCACTATCTCCTTGATGATTTTCTTAGTGTATACCTGATGTGGGAATTATACAAGAAAAGAAATGTATAATGTACAGCATTTTAAAACATACATCAAAGTCAAGATGGATGGATTTTGATGTGAAACATCTATAACGGCTGATCAGACAGACTGATGCTGCATGCGTCGTCACGCTTTATTATAGTATATATGTACGTCATTTTATTATATATATTTAATTTTTTATTGTATTTTGTAATGTTTATTAAATAAACATTCATATTTTTCTTGAAAAAATTCTGTATATTTTAAATTTCATTATGTCATATTTATTTCCTGTCGTAAACTATCTCTTTATGCATATTACCTGTACAAAATAATTTCGATGTTTCACATCTGCCAGGTGTCCCGCGACGGCTCACAATTTAAAAAAATATAGACCATTTCTACCATTAATTGGTGATGTAAGGGATCTTTTTATAGAATAAGGGTGACGAACGAGCTGACAGTTCACCTGATGATAATTGGATGACGCGGCCCATAGCCATCTACATCCATCCTCGATTATGAATTAAAAATCAAAATTCAGATGCGTTGTCACCCTTGAGGACTAAGGTGGAATGCCTCGTTTCTGGTAAAAAGGGTATTTGGATCTCTACACTCACCAAACAAGCAGTATTAAGCTGCTATTTTACGCTGGTATTCTGTGGTCCTTCCCCGGTCGAGGCGATTCATTCGTGCTTCAACTATAATATAGCTATGCTGGCTCTACCACGAGATTTAATCACCAATCTCCAAGGAGATCTGAAAGACCTTGGAACAACCGCAACATTGCGGGATAACTACCGCCACTGTATAGATAGAGGCGCGAGTCATTAGTATCAAGTGACAGCTTTGCATATGTATTTTTCTGATAATATACTGCTGGCGATTGACACGTGAATGTCCAATAAATGAAGGCGATTGACACGTGAATATCCACTAAGTGACGAACCAATCACATTTAAGTCATAACAATGTCACCACAAGAATGTCAACCCACTCCGGGTCCTGGTAATTCACAAAAGCGATCATTATATCGACTATTGCGCATGTCGATGCTGTGCTCGACTCCTGCCGCAATTTATTACCATAGATCTAAAATCTCAGTTAAAATACCCAGACGTACAATAGAAAAGCTGTGATAAAATTGCTCGACGACGGCTAGTACTACTACCGTCATTTACTGGTAACTTCTATTAGCTTCACCCGTGTAATAAGTCCGAAGAAAATAAATACGAGGAGACAAAGAAAATTATAACTCATACAAAATCTTTATACCATACGACAAACTGTCATTTTTCTTGGACGACAGTTTGTTGCGAAATGGAGCATCTTTCAGACGATTTATTTACTTGAAAAAGGCAAAAAAAAAAGTAAAAATGAAATGTATAGAAATGAATCAAAAACGCCTGAAAATAAAGAGGGACAATAAACAGAAATATATACAAAAAATGGTCCATAAGGCATATGACAAGACATTTATAAATTTCAATTGCAGATCCGTTAAACGCTCTGTAGACTGCGTTAAAACTTTGTACAAAACTGCGGATATCATTTGTCTACAGGAAACATGGCTTCTAACAGATGACATTGAATACTTAAGTACGGTTGATAGTAACTTTGGCTGGTTTTCTACGAGGAAGATCCTAAAAATACCCTCCCTGCCCTATTTAGGGAGATAGGGAGGCGTTATAATTCTGTGGCGAAAAAGTTTATTGCAGTCAGTTACGGTTATTCAGTGCATAAGTGTGCGTTTGACAGCAATTAAAGTAGTGAGAGCAGATCGTTCCTTTTTAGTAATGTCTGTATACATGCCAATAGATTCGGTTGACTTTACTACCAGACTTTACGGAGTGTATAGGTGAAATCAGTGCAATCCTAGAGGACAGTCGTGTGGAATCTTCGTTTATACTTGGAAACTTTAATGCACACCCACGTGACTTATTTGGTAACGAATTGCAATGTTTTTGTTCAGATCAAAGCTGCCGCAACTCGTCCAACGTCCGACTCTTACACTCGTACATACCTAAGTGATGTCTATGATTCGCGAAGTTGGTTGGATCATTGTGTTGTTTCTGAAGCAGCTATGTGCTCAGTAAATAGTGTGTTAGTTTTTGTTAAAAAAATAGCTAATCCTACTATTAATCCCTTTATATATTTTATTTTATTGTTTCTTTTAAATTTTCAGACATCAAGAGCGAGCATGCACTCAGCCTGCCCGAGTTGCCTCAGCGGCTGAGTGCATGCTCGCTCAGTCCAGCCAGTGATATCACTGAGTCGGGACCTTTTCCTCCTTGCTGCAACTCAGGGTTTTTTTTGAGTGTATTTTTTAATTTATAATGTTGGTGAATTATATTTAAATTAGTTTTATTTATCTTTTTTCATGTAATTACTTTTTACTTGTTTTGCTGCATGCTTAAATTGGAATAAACGCATTTCTTTCTTTCATTTCGTCTCGCATGTGTCACAAGCTCATAAGCGACGGTTGTAAGAAATGCGAGAAAGACCTCTTGGCTTCTAATACATGACGGTATAACAATTTCGATTATTCTAGACGTCAAACACCCAGACCAGCGAGGAGAAACAGCGTAGTCTGGTACTGTGAACGTCAATCTATTTCCCAAGCGCGGTGATTAAGGCTTATTTTCCTTACAACGGAATAGGCCTGTAAACTGTAACAAGCTGGTGAAGAAGAAGTAATTTAAAGTAATAAAATCAATGACTAATGACTAACCTTGCTGGGACTGTAAGCCCCGAGTTTACTCAGGTTAGGTCTCCTCTCTGAGACGAACGGGAAGCTCTGACTGTCCGTGATATGCCAGTGGAACGTGTTTAGCTTCACTGCGGCCATTGCATCTACGGACAAAGTATTTTTGATTTTGAAAATTATCATACAAAACACAACACATCACAATTCCATGGAACATTGGTCTTTACCAAGGGCAGCCATAAAGCACAGTCCAAAACCAAGTGGTCACTTCATCTAGTGATGGGCCGCCATACACTTCATTTTCCGGTATGATACAACCACTCAAGAAACTTTTTTCCCCGTCAATTGTCAGTTTTTCGAGCTAATAAAGTTACAGTCCATATACGTCCCACTGCCGGGCACAGGCCTCCTCTCACTTCTGAGAAGATTTTAGGGCAAGGAAATGTTTTTTCATAGGATAAGGGTGACAAGCGAGCACACAGTCCACCTGGTGGTAAGTGGTTGCTGTGGCCCATAGACATCTACATCTATCCTCAATTACGAATCAAAATGCAGATGCGTTGTCACCCGTGAGGACTAAGATAGAATGCCTCGTTTCCAGTTAAAAAGGGTCTCCGGTTCTTTACACTCATCTTACGAAACACAGCAGCGTTAAGCTGTGAGAGCTTGATCCCTCCCCGGTCGAGCCGACCCATTCGTGCTACATATACTAATATAGGTGGCAATATAACTATAACTACTAATAAAAGCTTTAATATAGCTCCAAAGAAATACTGAGTGAAATAAATACCAATAGTAGCTTTAATGGAGTCCACAGTAAAGTAGTTCCTGGCTGTGTCGAGGAGAATGCCTCGGTATGTGTATACTGGCTTGTCACTGATGTTCACATCTCTGGCAATCTGTAACATACATAGTTATATTTATAAATAATTTAAAATTAAAAATTTTGTACAGCCGACTTCAATATAAGTTATTAAAAATAACTCAAAAGCTATTGGTCTGACCTTGATCAATTTCATATGGGACCACACGAGATGTATTAGCTTTCATATAAAAAAGAATCATCGAAATCAGTTCACCCAGTAAGTTATGAGGTAACACACATGAAAAAAAATACAGTCGAATTGAGTAGTCTTCTTTTTGGAAGTCATTTGTGCAGCTTTCTCATTGGCTTCAATGCAATTATGAGCTGCAAGTTTTAGTGTCGATTTGCTACATATTCAGCTGTAAAGGAAAAAATCTTTTATTTTATATGTTTCACTAGGATTTTTCCAAGAATCGTGATTTTTTTTTACACAGATACATTGTTATTGTATAACACACAACAACAGATCCGGAAAAAATAATTGTAGGCTATATAAACACTTACACCGTACGGGATTCAAACCTGCGGACCCCTTGCGTCTAAGCCAAACTTTTTGGAAATGAGGCATTTCACCTATGTCCTCAGGGGTTACAATACATCTGCATTTTGATTCTTAATCGAAGAAATGTGTAGATGTCTATGGGTCACAGTATCTACTTACCATCAGTTGGACTGTGAGATCGTGTATCGCCCTTATTCTATGAAAAAAATTATCTAATTTATAATATTAAGATTTAAGACAAGTCAGTAATATTTAAATATTTCAGAAAAAAAATTGAGGGTCACTTATCGGGATAAAAACTATCCTATCTCTCAAGTTGGACTAAACTGCACACAGTGTGCAAAATTTCATTGAAATCAGTTCAGTAATTAAGGAGTTCATCGCGGACAAACAACGTGACACGTAATTTTTATAAGTATATAAAGATTATTATTTATTTATATATTAAGTTCATATGCGTGTATAGACATTGTATCTTTATATGTATATTTAAATATATTTTGTGTATGTATGTACTATGTATAAATATATTTAATACTAGCTTTTTACCTGCGGCTTCGCTCGCGTGAATTTAGAAACATCATTAAATACCGTTCCGTGCCAAATTTAGAAATATTCGATCACTTTTAGTCACCTCGGTGACTATGTCTCTATGTCTGTCAAAGATTTTTTTTCATTCTAAAATACTATTAGACATAGATGATTGGTAACATGCTACAGAAACACGTGAATATACATATACATATGTCTAGAAACACCTACTATTTTTCATATCGGGCGTGTCTTCCGATGTATCCATAAGAAAGGTAAAAGGTTTTGAAATCAAAATGTATTATTACTATTTACATTTTACCCTTTAAATTTATTATTTATATATTTATTAAAGTTAATTTAGTTTTAACAAAGTAATATAATGTTTATTTGAGACATTTTATTCAAATTATCATTGGTCCTATTCAATATTGATTGGCACCATAAAATAGATGTAGATATTTTTTTCTTGGAGTAGACTTGAAAATTTCATAAATATAGTTCTATAATAATGAATACTACACATGGATTAAAACTAATGTTACGGGTTTTTTTACGCATCTTGGATGAAAGTTCCGAGTAAAAGAACATATCGTTGATGTGAAGCACCGAAGCTCCGGGAAGTCTAAAGTATGTCAACATGTTTAGTATCATCCCAACCATTATATCGGATCTGATAGACAACAAATCCTTCCAATAGAACACCGGATCTTACCAATGATGATTCGCGAGACTATTATATTATATAATATTATATATAGTAGGGAAGATGGCTGAGTGCTACCATCTGCTAAGGACCCCTTAATTAATAAAATTAAATTCAAACTACTACTGCATTTATTCTATTCTATTTTAACGATGACATCGGGTCGTCAAACACCTCAGTTCTCCAGCCCCTCCCGTAGCCATGGGTGCTGTAAAGTGCCCAAAACATCGGGAATTTGAAAATTTAAATTAAGCGCGATAAAATCCTTAAACTTAGTTTTTTTTTCATTTTATTCCTTATAAATTTTATTCACAGTGAATGTGAGGAGCACTACACCCATGAAAAATATTCGCCCTGTTGTGGCGGTGAAAGAAAATCCACCACCTAATACCTAAGAATTTCCACATAGGAAAACAAACTGGAGATGGGATGGGCTGCATCATCTTCTTGTCAACAGATCAAAATAATAATAGCTGCGGTTGCCAACCCGCTTACCAAGCGTGGCAACTATAGCAAATATCCAGCTACTTGACAATTTATGGTGGAGGCCTATGTTCATTTCAATGGACTTTTGATAGGCTGACGATAATGAGTTCTACTCATCTTTGCAAGCCTTAATATTTACGGCAGAGTGAACACAAAAAGTAACATACATGAAAACACGAATGAATGAATGAAAAACTGCATATATTACCCCATGAAAAGTAAAAAAGTAGCAGCTTACATACATCGTATATTCAGTAGCATTGTATTATTTCATTTCATCAATGACTTGCCATTTTAGTTTATTTAGAAGTAAGCCGGTGACGCTAATATTAGATGAAATAATGAAAGCCAAAATTATACCATCTCGTAATATCAGCAATAGAAGCAAACATTTATTTATTATATCAATAACGAATAAAGTGATGTCAATTCTCTTGAAAGTTCTGTTTCTGTTAAAAAATACGCTATCAGCGCCGTTAGCGGTGAAAAATGATTTAATGATATCGTCATACGACCATATTATGAAATAGCAACATTATGTTTAGTTATTAATATCTTCAAACGATTTCTATTCATTGATTTGGTCAAGCTATATCATGACATGGTCAACAAATAGTGTTAAATATCATGAAATGACTACACCATTCCACAAAAGGATAGACTAATTTATCTGGCCACGAAATATTTAAAAATCTCTTTAATAATATTATAATGATAATGAACATTTTGCAACAATTGCAGACAGACCAGTTTTAATCAATTTACATATATATTAGTAATTGAAATAATAATACCTTAACAATTTTCATATTTTTTTCCTATTGTATTATTATTATTATCTATTGAAATTATAACACTTTTAAAATAAAATAACAAAAATACTAAAAACTAAACGTTAGAATTTTGTAATAATTTTAAAAATCTAATCATTTAATCATTTAAATGTAAGTTATTTATATTATTTCATTCATAAGTAACTGAAGGCAAAATATACTACTTTTTCATTTGATGATAGATGGCGCTGTTTTGAATACCAAATCGGTGCAGTTTCAAATTATTTTACCAAGATTATAACTATACTTTAAACTTTATTTACAAATATGGTTTTTATTTGAAAAACACCCGTCATCCCGCCTATAACTAATATATAATAGAAAATTAACATCTAAAGGAAATAGAATTCATATCCTTCCTTCTTTGAAGTTCCGTAATCGGATAAAAAGTAGCCTATAAGTTGCCCCGGGGTACTCACTACCTATATACAAAATTTCATGTAAATCGGTTCAGTAGTTTTTGCGTGAATCCGGAATACACAGACAGACAGACAGACAGAAAGACAGGCAGACAGACAGACAAAAATTCTAAAAACCACTAATTTGGCTTCAGAACCCTTTATTTAGTCCCCTGGACTTGTTTTTTCAAGAAAGTATTAGAATTACAGATACGACTTTTCTACAGATTTATTATATGTATAGATATGTACACTTTATATACGTAATATGTTTCGTACCTGCCAACAATTGTCTTTGGCACACAGGGTTGACTAGCAGAGAATGCCACATGGCATTACGTCCACCATATGTACCCTTCCTTTAAGGCGTTACATTTAAGCCTATAGTCATCATTAGCACACAATCCATAAATATTTATATTGCTGTACATAGAATCTTTTGTGATAGTGACCATTGCTGCAGTGCATTATCATAAGGCAAACAAAGCGACTGCCCGCGCTCAAGCAATGAACCGAAAGACGTAAAATTCTATTGGTTTAATTTTAAATAAAATATTCTTCAGGTTTCGATATTTGCTTGCGAAATCGCAACAAGAACTTGATAAAATTTTTCAAGTATCGTATTAGTATTATAACCTGTATTATTGTACGTTTTTATATTTAATAAAATCAACTGGGCTTTTACTGGTTCTTCCTAGAACTGTAGGTTATATTTTCCGAAACAAGAAATTGAATTTTAAGAAATTCTTAATGCATTAAAATTTATTTTTAATAAAAAAACTTAATAGTTTTTACATTAAAGTATGCTATATTTAAAAACTATTCTATTATACCATGGAATATAAACTATGTTAGTCCGTGAATAAAGGTGAATCTAACCACATCTAGACTTTAAAATCCATGAACTCTTGTATATGCATCGGGAGATCACAGACCGTCAAGCAAATATAAATCGACATAATATTATAAATGTGACAGTTTGTTGGTATATTTATCATTCAACTAATACAACAGATTCGCACAAACTTTCAAAGGGATTTCATGGAAATTTGGCGCAACAAAATATACCTCTACATTTTATCACCGAAAATAACATAGGATAGTTTTTTTTTATAGAAGAGGGGGCAAACAAGCATGCGGCTCACCTGATGGCAAGTGACTACCGCCGCCCATGAACCACCGCAACACCAGGGGAATCGCAGATGCGTTGCCGGCCTTTTAGAAAGGTGTAAGCTCTTTTCTTTAAGGTCCCTAAGTCGTATCGATCCGGAAAAATCGCCGGTTGGAAAACAATTCCACAGAGAAGTTGTACGAGGAAGTTTTAAAACAATTATGTATTACTTTACGGCAAGCGAAGCGGTATATACCTACACAGATTTATTTTTTTATAAAACTGTCAAAGTATCTTACAGCAACCCTTTGACCCCTGGAGCAAACTTCAATAATTTAAAATTGAAAATTTTGTACAACCGACTTCAATAAAAATTATTAGGAATAACTTCAAAAAACTATTGGTCAGACCTTGATCAAATTTATATGGGACCACATGAGAAGCACCAGCTTTCAAATAAAAAAAGA